TTTTCTACATTAGAAGAAAGTTTTTGTAACTTGAGTGAAACTTTCCTTATCATTGTAACAACACTATCATTTTGACCACTCAAAGCAATCCACAAACTAGTTAGATTATACTATAATCGTTATGTAATATTTTGTTGATGGTTTTACAAAGAAATCAGTACGGGACGGAGCCATCATGCTACGGAAACATTTTGACTTGTATAAGAATATTAAGGATCGTTTGTAGAAGTGAGGGTATAAAAAATCTCGTGTACTGATTGTACTTCTTTGTCAGATTAAAGTTGAATTTTACACAGGGGTGTTCATACACCATAGACAAGGGATTTTATAATGAGGTTCATGGCCTCACTAACTCTCCACGACAAGGGAATTAGAGACTTATAGGCTCGATAATTTGTGATGTTAATTTGTTCTAAATATCTCAGCACAAAACAACTCATTATATTTCACTGTTCAAAAAAAGATCAGCCAGGTCGTCAGACTATGATTCACACTTAAAGTATGTGTTTTTTCATGGAGTCGTCACCGGCATCTCAACAATGGGGAAAATCGATAGATATATAATCATTCTTATCAATGTCGACCGTGGCCCATAACTATATATATATATATAGACACATATTGTCTACAACCAAATAAGCAAGAGCACAACACTAGAAATAATATCATACTTAGAGGTTATATAGTTCCCTACAGAATGATCATGTTATCGATGTGATTGAAGACAATTATATTTTGATACGGAGGAGACACAAAAAATCGTAGACAAATTCCTTCTGGCAAGGACGGAGGAAAACAAGTGAACGGTCCTTTGTACAAGGAGGGAGGAGACAGGTCATAAGTCCTTTGTACAAGGAGGGGAGGGGCAAACGGGTCATAAGTCCTTTGTACAAGGAGAGAGGAAAAAAGATTATAAGTCCTTTGTACAAGGAGGGGGGGAACAGGTCATAAGTCCTTTGTACAAGGAGGGAGGAAAAGAGGTCATAAGTCCTTTGTACAAGGAAGGAAGAAAACAGGTCACAAGTCCTTTATACAAGGAGGGAGGAAAAAAGATTAGAAGTCCTTTGTACAAGGAGGGGGGGAACAGGTCATAAGTCCTTTGTACAAGGAGAGAGGAAAAAAGATTATAAGTCCTTTGTACAAGGAGGGGGGGAACAGGTCATAAGTCCTTTGTACAAGGAAGGAAGAAAACAGGTCACAAGTCCTTTATACAAGGAGGGAGGAAAACAGGTCATAAGTCCTTTGTACAAGGAGGGAGGAAAAGAAGTCATAAGTCCTTTGTACAAGGAAGGAAGAAAACAGGTCACAAGTCCTTTATACAAGGAGGGAGGAAAACAGGTCATAAGTCCTTTGTACAAGGAGGGAGGAAAACAGGTCACGAGTCCTTTATACAAGGAGAGAGGAAAACAGGTCATAAGTCCTTTGTACAAGGAAGGAGGAAAACAGGTCATGAGTCCTTTGTACAAGGAGGGAGGAAAACAGGTCATAAGTCCTTTATACAATGAGAGAGGAAAACAGGTCATGAGTCCTTTGTACAAGGAGGGAGGAAAACAGGTCATGAGTCCTTTGTAGAAGGAGAGAGGAAAACAGGTCATAAGTACTTTGTGCAAGGAAGGAGGAAAACAGGTCATAAGTCCTTTGTACTGTATTCAATCTTGACTTTTACATTACTTGTGACAGGTATTAAACATGCAATCATATATTATAATTCGTTGTAGAAGATACAGATCAAAATCAAGCCCGAGTTATCGTTCCTTGCACTAATTAACACCTCGTCCAGCTGAAAAGTAGTCAATGTTAGGAGTCCGGCCTTTGACTGGGGATGGGGTGGGGAGGGGGTGGGCATTGGTTTATTTTATTTTTACTCCTACAATCTAAAACTCTTATATTTTCTTAGACTCCTATTTCATATCAAATGGAAGAAATTTACGGCAAACTTTCTTGTTCATCTTGTATCAGACCTGTATTAACAAACCTGGTTTTTTATAATTTACATGACGGGTATGCTATTGTGTATGCAGATAAGGTGTCCAATTATTTTATCATTGTCTGCAAACATTATTACATTCCATGTATAAAAAAATTATGCTTTTTTGACAATGAGGGAAACCCAACCTATACAGTATGCAATCTTTCAAAAAAAGAAATGTTTGCTAATTATGCTTAAGTATTACAATCATTTAACAATGATAAGGATACGGACCTCCCCCTTTTATACTAGATTCTTAAACATAAAGAACGTTCTATCGCTGACTCAACAAGTCTTTTAACCGACCATAGTCCAAATTTCTCATTGTCGATCTTAGCACTATCCAAGCTGGGTTTCAGTCTCATTGTGATACTGTTTACTCAAAAAACCATTTGATTTCTCCACTCTGTACCCTATTGGAATTCCGGCCACGTTGTCTTTTATTTTATATCGATTTTTCGCTTCCGTAGTACCCCACTGTACCACATTCTAAACTGAAGGAACACGTTTGTTCTCTTGTTATGAGAGCTTTCTCTTCCAAGAACGGTGAACGGCGGTATAAATATATATTTGTGAGCTATACTGAAGGGTACCTCGTAATAAAAAGGTCCAAATCATTGAAATATACGGAGGAGTTTCTGGTTTTCCTCGTCGATTTTGATGGCATAAGATCTTCCAACAGACTGTTAGCATACCTAACTAACTGTTCCCCTCTGTTGGCTGGCTTGTTTTTTTTTTTTGCATACGAGGCTGAACTTATCGAAGAGCTTACCAAAACAGATCACAAAAACCTTGCAAAGTCGTTTAATTACCCTTTCAGATATATTGATGACGTCTATGACAAGAAATATGTCGATCGTATATACCCACCAGAAATGGAAATACACGACAGACTCTCCTACATCAGCCCCTTAACTCGATTTTTTCCTATAACGAAACCAACCTGAACAGCTTTTCACTTCGCTGTTCGATAAACATTAGGATTTCAATTTCCTTATTGTTAATATTCCATTTGAACGTCATTTGCATCCCCAAACAATGGTGTTTACATGTCGCAGTTGAATCGATATTCAAGGGTCTGTTCCCATTATCACGATTTTTCGTGCGCAAGAAGTCGTCAACTTGTTAAACAGGGATTCATAAGATGCAAATTGATCAAAAATTAAGACGAAGTTTTACGGTCGCCATTGTAATCTCGTTGCAAAACATTCCATTTCTTTCTGCGATATGAACAAGACGTGTTTGATGCTCATTGGTATGCCTGTTGGTTCCTTTGTTATATACATTGTTCTCATTAAGAACGCTGACCAATATCTATATGGTGGGTGTCGTCGATGAAGCAAAAGACACTTCCGGAACATCTGGATTTTACTTCTTGCGTATTTCAGGCGTCTCCATGTAAATCTTTCTTGTGTTCATATTTTGCCCTAGTATTATTGAATTTGACTTTGGATTATGATTATGTTGACATAATGGTATTTTCTTGTTTTTCCTTTCACGTAACTATGCTGATCGTAGGTTCCCGTGGCTTTAAACAAAGCCATGCTACACCCAGAACTGTTGTTGTCAATGTCTTTGTTGGGTCGGTCTAGCCTTAATTCTGCTTAAGTCTACTAGTCAATGTCAACACCGGAGAGCAATTTCTTGAAGTGGTTGCGATGTCGATTTTTTTAATTCTGATAACCGTTTTAGTACTAATGACAGCCTCTAGTAAATTGATGTATACGTCAGTTGTATGTGGAAATGTTTCCGGATATCACTCTCCTTGTGTCATATTTCTCTCGTTAGTTACAGTAACCTCTCGCATTGTTGTTTGCAAACGTAGAATATCACATATGTTAACATCTTTTGGTTGATATTGAGCAGTAATTAAATTGCGGGTGATCCCTTACCTTTTCATGTCCGTTCGGGGAATCAAAGGTTTTTATAATATGTTCTCTCTATCATAAACTGTACGTTTCATCGGCATCAATGAAATCATATTAGTTAGAATCCGAACACGAGATTTTACCAAGGGGCTATAGGTTTGTTAATAACGGCCTACTGACCCTGAATCAAGTTCACTATATAGCATCTTCGTGTAACTGAAGTACACAGCGAGTTTCATAACATTTGCTTAACCATAGCCAAAGTTATGCTCCAGACACGCAAATAATGGACGACATGCGGACAAAGCAAAAAACTGTGTCGTCTCCGAAAATTTACGAGTAACAAAAATGTCATGATCACTTACAGATATATCGGTTCTCGAGCGAATACAATGTTTACTTTAACGAGTAACATGAAATATCATGATCACTCACAGATATATCGGTTCTCGAGCGAATACAATGTTTACTTTAACGAGTAACATGAAATGTCATGATCACTCACAGATATATCGGTTCTCGAGCGAATACAATGTTTACTTTAACGAGTAACATAAAATGTCATGATCACTCACAGATATATCGGTTCTCGAGCGAATACAATGTTTACTTTAACGAGTAACATAAAATGTCATGATCACTCACAGATATATCGGTTCTCGAGCGAATACAATGTTTACTTTAACAGATGATATGTAACAATGTAATTAAATCTACGTTGGAAGATGTTAAGGTGTTAGACAAACATCTGCCCTGAAATCTTTGACAGGATTCTTGGCACTAGATAAATGTATAGGTTGTTATAAACAGGTCATGCCACAGTTCCTGACCTTGACCCTCACTCTAGCTACCTTTGATCTAATGTCCAAGGCAACTTGTAGACCCCAATACGTTCGAAATGATAAAATATTCATGTCGGCCACATTACTTTCAGGTCTATAACCGGCCGAGTTATTACCTAGAATCCAGGCTACAGCAAGTACTTGGAACACTGTATGGTATGGACAATTTTCGCTGCTGAGTTGTAATATGTATGGAAAGGGAAAAATGATGTAAGATACAGGAAAGTAAAGCATAAACCTCAACAGCACGGAATTGTACGTACAAAACAATATACTTCTCTAACTTTCTTAGTAATAAGTATCAGGAATATGCTATTAAAGCAAACTATGTTAAAGATAAACATAGTTCTGATAACTATGTCAGGATTAACAAGCCCTTCTCTAGTTCTGATAACTATGTCAGGATTAACAAGCCCTTCTCTAGTTCTGGTAACTATGTCAGGATTAACAAGCCCTTCTCTAGTTCTGGTAACTATGTCAGGATTAACAGTCCCTTCTCTAGTTCTGATAACTTTGTCAGGATTAACAGTCCCTTCTCTAGTTCTGGTAACTATGTCAGGATTAACAAGTCCTTCTCTAGTTCTGATAACTTTGTCAGGATTTACAGGCCCTGCTCTAGTTCTGATAACTATGTCAGGATTAACAGTCCCTTCTCTAGTTCTGGCAACTATGTCAGGATTAACAGGCCCTGCTCTAGTTCTGGTAACTATGTCGGGAATAACAGTCCCTTCTCTAGTTCTGGTAACTATGTCATGATTAACAAGCCCTGCGCTAGTTCTGGTAACTATGTCAGGATTAACAAGTCCTTCTCTAGTTCTGATAACTTTGTCAGGATTTACAGGCCCTGTTCTAGTTCTGATAACTATGTCAGGATTAACAGTCCCTTCTCTAGTTCTGGTAACTATGTCAGGATTAACAGGCCCTGCTCTAGTTCTGATAACTATGTCAGGATTAACAGTCCCTTCTCTAGTTGTGGTAACTATGTCAGGATTAACAAGTCCTTCTCTAGTTCTGGTAACTATGTCAGGATTAACAAGCCCTGCTCTAGTTCTGGTAACTATGTCAGGATTAACAGGCCCTGCTCTAGTTCTGGTAACTATGTCGGGAATAACAGTCCCTTCTCTAGTTCTGGTAACTATGTCATGATTAACAAGCCCTGCGCTAGTTCTGGTAACTATGTCAGGATTAACAAGCCCTTCTCTAGTTCTGATAACTTTGTCAGGATTTACAGGCTCTTCTCTAGTTCTGATAACTATGTCAGGATTTAGAGGCCCTTTTTTATGTTCTGGTAACTATGTCAGGATTAACAGGCCCTTCTCTAGTTGTGGTAACTATGTCGTCATTAACAGGCCGGTAGAATATCGTGTATCTCCGGTAGAATATCATGTTTCTCCGGTAGAATATCTTGTATCTCCGGTAGAATATCGTGTATCTCCGGTAGAATATCTTGTATCTCCGGTAGAATATCATGTATCTAGGGTATAATATCTTGTATCTCCGGTAGAATATCGTGTATCTCCGGTAGAATATCGTGTATCTCCGGTAGAATTTCTTGTATCTCCGGTAAAATATCTTGTATCTCCGGTAGAATATCATGTATATCCGGTAGAATATCTTGTATCTCTGGTAAAATATCATGTAGCTCCGGTAAAATATCGTGTATCTCCGGTAAAATATCATGTATCTCCGGTAAAATATCTTGTATCTCCGGTATCTCCGGTAGAAAATCTTGTATATCCGGTAAAATATCGTGTATCTCCGGTAAAATATCATGTATCTCCGGTAAAATATCATGTATCTCCGGTAGAATATCTTGTATCTCTGGTAAAATATCATGTATCTCCGGTATCTCCGGTAGAATATCTTGTATATCCGGTAAAATATCGTGTATCTCCGGTAAAATATCATGTATCTCCGGTAAAATATCATGTTTCTCCGGTAGAATATCTTGTATCTCTGGTAAAATATCATGTATCTCCGGTAAAATATCATGTATCTCCGGTAAAATATCGTGTATCTCCGGTATCTCCGGTAGAATATCTTGTATATCCGGTAAAATATCGTGTATCTCCGGTATCTCCGGTAGAATATCTTGTATATCCGGTAAAATATCATGTATCTCCGGTAGAATATCTTGTATCTCCGGTAGAATATCTTGTATATCCGGTAAAATATCGTGTATCTCCGGTAGAATATCTTGGAATGCAACACACGATATATACTAGATTCACATACACATACACACCCTGTATATCCGGTAAAATATCGTGTATCTCCGGTATTCACAAGCCCCAATAATAATACAAACTCAATGACTGCTGTCAAATATCATCATCATCATCATCATCATCATCATCATCATCATCATCATCATCATCATCATCATCACTATCATATCATCATCAGCAGTAATACATATTCAGCATCGTAATCATCATGTCATCATCACCACTTCATCATCAACCTTTCATCCTCATTATCACATCATACACTGATCAGCAACAGAGCTGTTTATTATTATTAGTGTTTTGCCTCATCATCATCTATTCACACCTAATCCCCAATAGAATATCATGTATCTCCGGTAAAATATCGTGTATCTCCGGTAAAATATCGTGTATCTCCGGTAGAATATCTTGTATCTCTGGTAAAATATTATGTATCTCCGGTAAAATATCATGTATCTCCGGTAAAATATCATGTATCTCCGGTAAAATATCGTGTATCTCCGGTAGAATATCGTGTATCTCCGGTAGAATATCGTGTATCTCCGGTAGAATATCGTGTATCTCCGGTAGAATATCGTGTATCTCCGGTAGAATATCATGTATCTCCTGTAGGATATTTGGTATCTCCGGTAGAATATCGTGCTTTTCCAGTAGAATATCATGTAATTGAAAATGATGATTAAAATTTGCCGGTAATAATTACCTCGTTTTTAAGTACTGTGCATGTATTTAAATACAAAAACGTAACGGTTTCAATGAAACAGTGTGATCTGAAGCGGGAAGTCTCGCTAGGACGATAGTGACAATTGATCCTGCTATAGAACATCGCCATACTTGGCCACTTCGTCACAACCAGTGCTCTGAGCTCGGAATTCCATAGGGAGCCCTCACTTTGACATGATAACGCTAGTACTACCGCGGTGCTGATGTAGAACTAATGCTCCCATAATAAATTTGATAGCTCCTTTTCCTTCTTAAACGACCATGAATGATGGACGTGGTGCGGGTCGGCTGTTTAACGTTGTTTTATAAGGACAGATGCTGACTTGCCTAACTCAGCGTACGGGATCATACAGTATAATTGCCATCAACAGTATTCGCCGTTGAGGAACTGTACATTGAGTTCGGGACATGCATTTTAACAACGGTAGGAGCTACTGTAGGAAATGTCAATAATTACCCACTAAATGTCATAACTTTGACAAAAAAAGTATCTGTCATCGACAACAGGAAGCTTTTCAGGCTTACGTTTTTCGTCCTTGCACAGCAATGAAAGCTAGAGTTAACCACAGTAAACTTCAATGTCATCAGTAGCAAAGCATCAGCCTAAACGGCAGCAAACGTCAAGGCTAACAATAGAAAACGTCAGCCTCAACAGCATCAAACGTCAACGTTAACACCAGCAAACGTCAGCCTCAAAGGCAGCAAATGTCAGCCTCAACAGCATCAAACGTCAGCTTCAACAGCAGGAAACGTTAGTCTCAACAGCATCAAACGTCAGCCTCAACAGCAGCAAACATCAGCCTCAAAGGCAGCAAACATCAACCTCAAAGGCAGCAAACATCAGCCTCAAAGGCAGCAAATGTCAGCCTCAACAGCAGCAAACGTCAGTCTCAACAGCAACAAACGTCAGCCTCAACAGCAGCAAACGTCAGCCTCAACAGCAGCAAACGTCAGCCTCAAGAACAGCAAATGTCAGCTTCAACAGCAGCAAACGTCAGCTTCAACACCAGCAAACGTCAGCTTCAACACCAGCAAACTTCAGCCTCAACAGCAGCAAACGTCAGCGTCAACAACAGAAAATACCAAGTGCAACAGCAAAATAAATGTCAGTCAACAACAGAAAACGCAACGTGCAACAGCAGAAAAAGTCAGCGTCAACAACAGAAAACGTCACCTGCAACCACAGAAAATGCAATGTGCGACAGCAGAAAAAGTCAGTCAACAACAGAAAACGTCAGCGCCAACAACAGAAAACATCAGCGCCAACAGAAAATGCAATGTGCAACAGCAGAAAAAGTCAGTCAACAACAGAAAACGTCAGCGCCAACAACAGAAAACGCAACGTGCAACAGCAGAAAACGCAACGTGCAACAGCAGAAAACGCAACGTGCAACAACAGAAAAGGCCAAGATCAACACAAGCAAGCGAGTAGAAACGTTTTCTTATTATCGATAATTCTTTTGTTGTCTACTGATCCTACAGTACACCAATCCATCTTCATTGACGATGTACTAAGCGACCTTTGTCCCTATTATTAATGTCATCTCACATATGGCGCATGTGCAGATTATGGATGGATCGTAAATCCGACTCCCATCTGACTTATCGCTTCAGCAGACATTCTCAATTCTTTACCATTCAAAAATGGTATTTTTCTTCACTTCATTGAATTAATATTAATCTAGTTCGCGTTTTGTTTTATGTATAGTCAGATTTCTAAAGCAAGATCTGCTGTTTTCGTGGTACTTTGTAGTGATGCTAGAATGCATTAAGCTGGATTAGGGCTTGTTTTTCCCAAATTAAATATGGTTTTATCGATCTGACAGGACCAGATTTAGCCGTGACTAGAGAAATTAGTCTCGGGTACATGTAGCAAACGTTGTGTGTGGTATTTGTATTAAAATTCCCATTAATATTTTCCCCACTGTTTGTAGTTACATATACTGACCAGGAAGAAAAGTTCCAGGAACTACACGGGGGACATAAGTCTGTTATAAACATATCCGTAATACGTCTGTGTTGTCCGTTACATATCCGTTATACGTCTGTGTTGTCAGTTACATATCCGCAATACGTCTGTGTTGTCACTTACATATTCGTTATAGGTCTGTGTTGTCAGTTACATATCCGTTATACGTCCGTGTTGTCATTTACATATCCGTTATACGTCTGTGTTGTCAGTTACATGTCCGTTATATGTCTGTGTTGTCAGTTACATGTCTGTTATACGTCTGTATTGTCATTTACATATCCGAAATACGTCTGTGTTGTCAGTTAAATATCTGTTATAGGTCTGTGTTGTCAGTTACATATCCGTTATACGTCTGTGTTGTCAGTTACATATCCGCAATACGTCTGTGTTGTCACTTACATATTCGTTATAGGTCTGTGTTGTCAGTTACATATCCGTTATACGTCCGTGTTGTCAGTTAAATATCTATTATAGGTCTGTGTTGTCAGTTACATGTCCGTTATATGTCTGTGTTGTCAGTTACATATCCGAAATACGTCTGTGTTGTTAGTTAAATATCCGTTATACGTCTGTGTTGTCAGTTACATATCTGTTATAGGACTGTGTTGTCAGTTACATATCCGCAATACGTCTGTGTTGTCAGTTACATATCCGTTATACGTCTGTGTTGTCAGTTACATATCCGTTATACGTCTGTGTTGTCAGTTACATATCTGTTATACGTCTGTGTTGTCAGTTAAATATCCGTTATACGTCTGTGTTGTCAGTTACATATCCGCAATACGTCTGTGTTGTCACTTACATATTCGTTATAGGTCTGTGTTGTCAGTTACATATCCGTTATACGTCCGTGTTGTCAGTTAAATATCTATTATAGGTCTGTGTTGTCAGTTACATGTCCGTTATATGTCTGTGTTGTCAGTTACATATCCGAAATACGTCTGTGTTGTTAGTTAAATATCCGTTATACGTCTGTGTTGTCAGTTAAATATCTGTTATAGGACTGTGTTGTCAGTTACATATCCGCAATACGTCTGTGTTGTCAGTTACATATCCGTTATACGTCTGTGTTGTCAGTTACATATCCGTTATACATCTGTGTTGTCAGTTACATATCTGTTATACGTCTGTGTTGTCAGTTAAATATCCGTTATATGTCTCTGTTGTCCGTTACATATCCGTTATACGTCTGTGTTGTCCGTTACATATCCGTTATACGTCTGTGTTGTCACTTACATATCTGTTATACGTCTGTGTTGTCAGTTAAATATCCGTTATATGTCTGTGTTGTCCGTTACATATCCGTTACACGTCTGTGTTGTCAGTTACATATCCGTTATACGTCTGTGTTGTCAGTTAAATATCCGTTATATGTCTGTGTTGTCCGTTACATATCCGTTATACGTCTGTGTTGTCCGTTACATATCCGTTATACGTCTGTGTTGTCCGTTACATATCCGTTATACGTCTGTGTTGTCCGTTAAATATCTGTTATAGGTCTGTGTTGTCAGTTACATGTCTGTTATACGTCTGTGTTGTCAGTTACATATCCGTTATACGTCTGTGTTGTCCTTTACATATCCGTTATACGTCTGTGTTGTCCGTTACATATCCGTTATACGTCTGTGTTGTCCGTTAAATATCTGTTATACGTCTGTGTTGTCAGTTAAATATCTGTTATAGGTCTGTGTTGTCCGTTACATATCCGTTATAGGTCTGTGTTGTCCGTTACATATCCGTTATACGTCTGTGTTGTCCGTTAAATATCTGTTATAGGTCTGTGTTGTCCGTTACATATCCGTTATACGTCTGTGTTGTCCGTTACATATCCGTTATACGTCTGTGTTGTCAGTTACATGTCCACTTTAGGCATGTGTTGTCCGTTACATATTTGATACGTCTGTACCGTCTGATGTATGTCCGCTACAGGTTTGTGTCGTCCGTGTAATCTAACTCCTGCCAATTTGTCATTCGGCATCAAGAGTGCACCTCATTTTTACGAGTTAGATTCGTCGGGGTTTTTTTTTCAAAATGCCATATAAAGTAAAGAATAAATAAAAATCCTTAGCAACCCACACACACGTCGGCGACATTCAGCGGGCGTTTTATAGAATTGCTAACATCACGATACGGAGAGTTGAAACCAGATATCGATGGAGAAAGCAATAAATCCGTCTAAATTAAGATCATTATCTTTATGTGAAAGAAGAGGGGAAATACATATTCCTTCCAACTGCCTGACCTGGGATTGAACGGGTCTCCGACGTCATAAAGAACCCTTTTAAATGACTGCACACCTCACGATGTGTATTAAGGGGAGATAATAGATTGCATAGGTGAAGCAACGAGTATAAAATGGAACCACAGATTCCCTTCCGAGGATGGGACACGGTATGTAACACTATGTATACAACGACCCGTTCCTTTTACACTATTCCTTCTGTTTTTCTTCAGATTATTTCTTAATTCTCAATCCGAAACACCAGAACCAGGCGCCGGATTTCGTTTGGCATCGACGTGAATGACGGAAGAAATGCTCTGACGGCGGTCATGTTCAAATCTGCGCCAAGACATCCTGGTTATTTGTGATTATTGACAGAGATATAAAGATGTATTTTGGATCTATATTCCGTTCCTGCTTACATGTAAACAACACAATGACATTTCTATTATACAGAATGTACATCGCTGGGAAATGAAAACGCGAAGTCCTAATATCTAAGTTCGTGTGGATGTGGCCGCTTATGTCCGATCAAATGACCGTGTTTGTCCAGGACGTGTCCGGCAGTATACATACAAATACGGTCTATTTTATGTGATATTGCTTACAAATTTGATTTTCACCTCTGAAAGGTTCCTACCAGATTTTAGCTGGGGGCTACTTGCTAATTCTGTATCTATTCCTGATACATTGTGTTTAAGACACGAACAGTAAACAAATAGCATTTTCTACTAGGCGTATCGACCTCTATAAAATGTCATGGCAGTCAGGTTACCTGGAGATGTAACGTCTAGACCGTTCTTGTGTTTCACGTTCTCTATGACACGTAAGTCGTGTTACAATTAACAACTCTACTAGTTTATTAACAATCATGAGTTCCGCTGTTTGCTGTATATACGATGATAAATAAATGTAATACACCTTTATCATACGAACCGTTCTTGTTATAATACACGTTTATCATACGAACCGTTCTTGTTATAATACACGTTTATCATACGAATCGTTTATCATACAAATCGTTCTTGTTATAATACACGTTTATCATACGAACCGTTCTTGTTATAATACACGTTTATCATACGAATCGTTCTTGTTATAATACACGTTTATCATACAAATCGTTCTTGTTATAATACACGTTTATCATACGATGCGTTCTTGTTATAATACACCTTTATCATACGAACCGTTCTTGTTATAATACACGTTTATCATACTAATCGTTCTTGTTATAATACACGTTTATCATACGAACCGTTCTTGTTATAATACACGTTTATCATACGAACCGTTCTTGTTATAATACACGTTTATCATACGAACCGTTCTTGTTATAATACACGTTTATCATACGAACCGTTCTTGTTATAATACACGTTTATCATACGAATCGTTCTTGTTATAATACACGTTTATCATACGAATCGTTCTTGTTATAATACACGTTTATCATACGAATCGTTCTTGTTATAATACACGTTTATCATACGTTTATCATACGATAATACACGTTTATCATACGTTCTTGTTATAATACACGTTTATTCTTGTTATAATACACGTTTATCATACGATGCGTTCTTGTTATAATACACGTTTATCATACGAACCGTTCTTGTTATAATACACCTTTATCATACAGATCGTTCTTGTTATAATACACGTTTATCATACAGATCGTTCTTGTTATAATACACGTTTATCATACGATGCGTTCTTGTAATAATACACGTTTATCATACAGATCGTTCTTGTTATAATACACTTTTATCATACGAATCGTTCTTGTTATAATACACGTTTATCATACGATGCGTTCTTGTTATAATACACGTTTATCATACGAACCGTTCTTGTTATAATACACGTTTATCATACAAATCGTTCTTGTTATAATACACGTTTATCATACGAACCGTTCTTGTTATAATACACGTTTATCATACAGATCGTTCTTGTTATAATACACGTTTATCATACGAATCGTTCTTGTTATAATACACGTTTATCATACGAACCGTTCTTGTTATAATACACGTTTATCATACGAATCGTTCTTGTTATAATACACGTTTATCATACGATGCGTTCTTGTTATGATACACGTTTATCATACGAACCGTTCTTGTTATAATACACGTTTATCATACGAACCGTTCTTGTTATAATACGAACCGTTCTTGTTATAATACACCTTTATCATACAGATCGTTCTTGTTATAATACACGTTTATCA